CACGTTTTATATTTTAACCCCTTAAATGCCAATTATTAAAATATGAAAATTAAATCTGCCATTACACGCTTTCTCCCATGAACACCCCAGAGATGTCTTGCATACCCCCAAGGGTGTGCGTACCACAGTTTGGGACCCCCTGGTATAGTGCATATAGAACAACAGGTAAATGTTTCATTTGACCTTAAACTTCTTTTGTTTGACTTTCCAGTCAACAGTAAGAACAAAAGAAATCAGATACTCTCATGGCCCTAGTCTTAATGCTTTGTATACTTCATCCTACACATAAGATGGATTCTGTATCAAAGGCCTTTAAAAAAAAAAGTTTAAATGCTCACTACCTATCATAATGGTTTTATCAATAAATGTCTGACGTAAACGTTACGTAAAACCAGATTCACGCTGGTTCATTAGAAAACACCACAATGGTGCTGGATCACTGGAATGTTAATTCGTTAAATTAAATGTATTTCTTTGTAGACAGTGTCTACCAAATACTAAATAAACAAACTGAAGACTGCTCACTGCCAAATCCTGGTGCTGGCTGCCTTTGAAGGAATATAATTGGGATCACAGCTAAACCTCTGTGTCAAATACATTTTCATCTACCCAACCTTCCCATTGTCCAGTGAAGGAAAATGTTGCTATTTCTAAAATGCATGAAGACGCACGCCCTCCCTCTGAGGTCAGGACAGCTGCAAGATGTTTTTCACAGTCATTTTCCATTCCTGCATCTGCCCACTCCATAGATGCTCACATTAACCATGGGATCTGGACGGCACCGTTAAAAATGGGAAGCTTTGCAAATGCTCCAGTCCGTTACAATAGATGGTGCTCGATTAACAACTCTGAAGATCAAAGTCCTTCCTATATACCCAGAGTGAAGGCAACCAAACACAGCAGGACACATGCCTGCCTCATATACTGTCCTACTTGTTGATTTCAAACCTGATAAAAGGAGGTTTGAGTTAAGAATGAGCAAGCAATTTAATTTTCATGCCTGAGCAGCTTTGGCTTCTCTTCTGACAGTAGCAGTGAACACAAACTGATCCAACCTGTGCCTTTTGCCTGAACAACCCAGTAGCTGTTGCATGGTAAGACTTGGTTCTCACTACTGGGCTACAGCAGGGTTTGAGCCAGGAGTCTAGAGGTGAAAATGTCATAACCCAAGACATCCAAGCCCCTCACTTGATCTGCCATTAATAAATATTATTTAATAAGCCAAAAATGACTCAACGAGACAAAAAACAGAAGGAAAGGTTATGTTACTCTTCAGCTAGTGAGGTTATTCCACAAAATGAAATAGCTTTCTAAATAATTTCCTGCAAGGTCATCTGGTCAATTTTTATTGCATTTATAAGTTATTGTGTATTTAAAAAATTAATGAAAGATTTAATTATAGCAGTGTTGCCACTGACCTTTTCCAAAATGACTTCATCATGAATCTGCAGGCATTTTGGAATGGTTTCCAAATCCCTAATAATTTGCTCAGAAATTGATAATGTCTAGCCCTGCAATAGACGCATACCCTAGCAATGAAGAGTCTTCAGTGACTGCAGCCAAACTCAAGAGTCCACCTTCTTTTCCTTGACCTGTATCTCACTCTAGAAAGTTAGCAACCTGTAGGGGGGAAAGAAAAAATACTCACCTGACTTAGTGAGTAAAATAACCAGATTGGAAAAAAACTCACATAGAAATGATACACTGAATGAGAAAGTGTCTGTAAGCTAGTGAGCAGATTCACCAGCGGGAACCTTCTGGCTTGTCTCTTCACACCCTTTTCTTTAGGATGTGATCTGTTACCAAAACATTTATTTATTTATTCATTCCAAAACATCTATTGCAAAGCCAGAGCTGATTGGCTCAGAGTTTCCTTTACCAAGCACCATCACCAAATCAATAGGTTAGTACATCACACAGTCTATATGCATCACAGTGGTAGACAATATTGGTGAATCTCATCCTTGTCTGCAAGCCCAGCAGCCTTGCTTGCTTGTTGCTCTGCCTAAGAGCATTCTTTATTACTGAAAGCTGGATCATGCTCATTAATCAGTATTAAGGAGCATTTTTTTTATTGAAAAAAACGTATGAGAACCTGGTGACCCAGAATAATCCCACTAGCACAGAGGAAAACATCCTGTAGAGTTCATACTGCTCTAATTACATTTAGCATAGTATTGTTTCCATCTAAATTATAGCAATTATATACAAAGATCTTCTTTGAAATCATTTAATTAAAGAGTAGCTAATGCTCCATGCTTTTGGAATGCTAATGCATTGAATTCCACTTAGAAAACCTTGTTTTTTCCATTAATTATTATTACTAAGCAAGAGTTTCAGGGGGGTTTTTTAGTTTTAAAAAAGCACATGGTTGTGGTGAGTTTTGAGGCTGGTGAAAGTGCATTGCAGCCTTCTGCTTTGCCAGCTGTGCTGTCAGCTGACAGAACCAACACTTCACAGTTCAGCTCTTATCCCATCCCATGGCCACTCAGTCGTCTTGATATTTCTGGTTGTGCTGTCTGCTGGGTTTCAGCAAGTGGTTCTTTTCTCTGCTGTAAGGAGCTTGTGACACAGCTGGATCCACAGCTGGCATAAATCAGCAGAGTCCCCTTGGGGTCAATGGGACCAGGCCAATTGATATTGGGTAGGGCTGCAGCTCACCAAATGGAGTGACCTTCAAATCATCTACAAGCAAATGGGTTTGGAGGAAAGATGCACAGTGAGTCTGTGAGACGTCTTAGCCACGCAGGCGGATGTAAGCTGAAAGCCATCTTCAAAAGCACAGCTGAACGAGATGTTGGGTGTGAACATAGCCGTGTTGCAAGCGTGATATTACTGGATTTGTCAGGAGTGGGTGGAGAGCTGTTTGTGTGGCATCCCAAACCTGGTGCAATGGAAGCAGCTGGGAGCCAGACCCTATCTAATACATGCTAAATCGACACGGAGTGGTTTGGACATCACAGAGCCTAGAAGCCCCCACTACAGAAATGATGTTGATAATTTAGAGACGGTCCAGCGGAGGGCAGTGAAAATGGTTTGGGGGCTGGGCTCATGACTTGTGAGGAGAGGCTGAGGGAACTGGGATTATTTAGTTTAGAAAAGAGGAGACTGAGAGGGGACTTAACAGCAGCCTTCAACTACCTGAAAGGGGGCTCCAAAGAGGATGGAGCTGGACTGGTGGAAGATCACAGAACAAGGAGCAATGGGCTCAGGCTGCAGCAGGGCAAGTTGAGGTAAGTTTACAGTCCAGCTGGAAATGAGATGGGGCAAGGGGTGATAGCAAACCCTGGGTTGGGTCCCAGAGAGATAAAGACTCCAGTCATAACGTGAGCAGTGTAGGTGTCAAGGAAGTCACTTTTTTCTGCTTTGCTTTTTTTTCCCTTTCACTGCAAGACTCGCCGAGCATCTCGGCACTTTTAGGTTGACATAATAGAATTATAAAAATCTCAAAAATGCCTTGAGTGAACATTTAGTTTTGTGAAAGACTTGGCATATGGAAAAATACTTCTCCATCCATTTTCTAAAGCCTGTTGTTAAGGTGGTTTGGCTGTACCCGCTTCTGTGCGAGGGCTAGAAAAGACTCAGATTATGCGTAGTGTAAAAATAAGCCGAATTAAATTTTAGCCAAGTTTTTCAAGGAGCTATTCCTTCAACGTCCGAATCTCCCAGTTTTGGGAGGAGAAGCCGATTCTGTTAGTTTGTTCTGATAACACGTTGATTGGCTTCATTTTATTTATATATATAGAGAGAGGGAGAGAGAGAGATTGTAGCTTTGTTTATAGCTTTCCAAGTGGTTACCTTTGCCTATGCCATAGCTTCCCCTTACAAATACACTTCTTCAGCCTCTGCTGAGTCAAAAACTGCTTCTTACTGAGAAAACAGCCACTGGCACGAGGCTTAAGAAGCAGTTAGTTGATCAAAAAGCAGGCTCCCCACAGCTCATCCAACGATTCCAGTTGAGTGGAGCCTTTTGTGTGGATACCTGATGTTATTTATGAATTGGGGGTGGTTTTGTTGTGGGTTGTTTTCCTTTTAGGAAATGTGAGCGTCTTCCAGGTAGACTGTCTTAGTAATTATTGCACTTGAGAGCATGGTGGGATGCACAGCATTGATGTGCTTGGTCTCATTTTGTCCTGTTCTTGCAAGTGCATGGGTAACTCCCAGCTTCAACAAAGCACTACACTTCCTGACTGTACAGCATACCCCTTTATCTTGCCTGTTGGTGAGTCCACGTAGCACTGAGCAGAGTGGGGCTCGGGAGCTGGTTGGTATCTCTAGGGACAAATCTGTGGTTTGGGGATGTGAAAATGATATCCTTATTTGGGAAGCTGGACCACAGACTCAAGTCACCGAATCAGGGATAATAATCAGCCTGCTCAAATGCATTTCAGAAACCGACTTCCCCACCCTGCAGTGATTTTTTATTTTGCAATCCCAGTACCACCTCAGCTCTTTCCTAATGCCACCGGGGCACATAACAACACTCAGAGCAATTTTTGCAGGAGTTTTCTTGTGTCACCTTAACCGAGCATTACCTGTAGTCACCTTCCTCACTTCATTGTTCAGCTCAGCATATATATATTTCCTAGTGTTTTCTGTACAATAGAAACAACTAAACTGAGTTAGCTAAGAAAGAGCAAAGACAAAGGTAGAACTCCTTGGGTCCCTATTTCCAGTGGCTTTAATATGACTAATCTCTCTTGCCGTCATTTCTTCTTTGTGCAACAGCAGCATTTGCTTGTCTGAGCTAGCCATGACAGTGCATGCCATTCACACACACACAGACAAGACAGAGGCCGGATCAGAGGAAAGGGCATTGGATGCCAGCAGATGATTGGGAACCAGTGCGCAGGCAGGTTCAGGCGAATTGTTTTTCCCCGTGAGGAGTTAGGGACGTTCGTGTTGGTTTCCACTCTTGGATTCAGGAAGGTTTCCACAAGGGAAGTCTATTCCCCAAGCTGATGGTGCGCGTACACTTCTTTTTTTCCCCCAATGCTCAGAATTTTTGGGCACTTCAGTCTCCGTTCAGAGTGGCAGCTGGTCAAAGTGGACTACAAATCCATCTTCAGCAGGCGATGCAACAAGGATGACTACCAGACCTGGCACCTGCACAACCAGGTATGACTGTGTCTCTGGAGTGGCCTTTATCCGAGCTCTCCTTGCGTGCTTGTGGGTAGGAGCCTGCCTTGCTCTCTTCCCCAAGAAGAGAAGGATCTGGCATCTTTCAATGCAGTTGGCAGTTTTCACCTGTAGATGTGACATAGTTTAAGTGCTTACTTTTCTGGAGTGGTGTTAAATCCTGGTGCTCTGGACTACATGAAAACTGCAATAAGCCAAATCTCACGCACCCAAAGGTCCCTATCCACCACTGCACCGGTGCAAAAGAGGCATGTCTTGTACTTGACTACCAGGTTAAAGCCCCTTTATGCCTTTTGATTGCTTTGATTATATGCCAGTAGAGTCTGCTTTTTTTTTAAATAAGATCACCTAAAATTAGCGGGTCGTTCACTAGCTCTTTCTGAAAACCTGCAAGGGTTTACCAAGCACCATCCAACTTGTCCCAGGAAGTTCTTGGTCCCAGGAAGTTCAAATGACCCTTGCTGGCATGTGTCCACTTACAGAACAGTGTAACAGGGTGTTAGGTGCCTTTAATAGCCAAGGGACCCATTTCGAAGCAATCCCATTCAGTTATCAGCCACAGCCAGAGGCAGGTTGAGTGGGCTTGTCCGCACACAGCAATGCGAGAATGCGCCCTGTGGGATAACTGAGCTAGCTCCCAACAAGCTGGTACCTCTGCCCATCACGGTGCAGTGCCATGCAGATACTGGCTGGGGGCCTGGATCCATCTCCGGCCCTGTGTCAATGCCGCCTTCTGCATAGGCTTGATTTGCCTGGGTTGAGCACTGCACTGTTGCAGCTACGTTGCTTCTGGCTCCAGACCGAGCACAGCGCTGAACTGGGCCATGCAGACATGCCTTGAACACCTTTTGAGGGCTTTGGGGAGCTGCAGGAGGCCGTGGGGCACTGAGAAGGGTCTGGAGGGGCAGGTCTTTGGGCCCCTGTGTTCTGTTACCTGGCAAGGTTTTGAATTTGGGCTAAAAAACCCTGCCCCAAAGGAAAAGTTTGAAGAGACTTTGGGTGTGACGCCAGCCTTATGTGGGCTAGTGATAGTGCCCAGTTGCCCATCAGCATGGCTCAGATAAGGTAAAGCATGCCTTTGTGGTTAACTTATAAGAGGGTTGGAGTTGCTTCTGGAGCTCTGCCTACCTCATGGGATTTTGTATACTCCTAGGGAGTCTTTTAACAGAGGATGCCGGAGAAGAAAAATGCCTGATATAGACATAGACGTAGCGGGTATAGAGGAGGAAGCATGTGCAGATGCTATACAAGGCAAACATGCTCTGTCGTCTCTACAGGCTTTGCCATCTGTGACCACGTGTCTCATTTTCAAGCTCGATGCTTTTATGGCCAGAAGCCAAGGAGGCTCCATCCCTTGGGAAAGCCATCATTGTACAAGGACACGGGCCTCCCCGTGGGAAAGAAGTGCAGTTAAAAAAACATGGGTGCTGGAGGTTAAAAAGGAGCGTGAGGTAGCCTAGTGGTTAACATCCTGAGAGAGAACAAATTAAAACCGTTGGAAATGACAAAAAGAGACAGTACCCGTGAATCCATACGGTCATCTTGGGCATTGGGAATAACAGGAAAGAAAAGTAATTCAATTCTGCAGTGTATTTTCTTTCCTTTTGGGCCCAAGCAAGTTATTTCAGTGCAACAGAAAATTTTATTTATGGCCATTCACCTAAAGGTCAGACTTTCTTTTTTTTTATTTAGGTATCCTCTGTATTGCTTTAGAAAGCCTTAAACCTCCTGGAACGGTGCTTGAAACAAATCGAGTGCTGTAAGACTGTGCAGTAGGCTGAGTTGCAGGCAAATGGGGGACGAGAAGCCCAAGCTCGTGGGGTCTACACCTAGGTTTGTCACAGACTTTGCATTTGCCCTTGGAGAGTTCCCTTCTTGATGCGTGACTTTTGCCACTTGCACAATAGGAATAATCAGGTCGACATCAGTACGCTGTGGGGGAGGCAGGAACTAGAAATCCTCTGGTTTCTCCTTCTAACTCCCGCTCTTTCTTCTGCGGAAGGGGGAGCCTTGTGTCATGGGAGAGAGGAAGATCTATAAGAAGCGCAAGCCCGGGGCGCAGTGTGCATTGGGGAGAGACTACTCCAGGACCGTCGTCTCCGAACCCTGCGTCTGCGCCGATGGGGACTTCGAGTGGTGAGTACCCTGGTCCTTTATAACTCATGACACTGCTGTGCAATTTGTTGCTCCGGGGCTTGTGCAGAGCCAGGTGGTTGGATGTGCACGGCATCCAAGGGGGCTATGATGGAAATAAATGGGTAGGCCAACACTGCCCCTACAACACGCCGCTGGAGGGTGCCTCCTACTTGGCGAAGAGATTTCAGACTCGCTTGGCTTTTGTCACCACTTGAGGCCCCAAGGTACAAGACAGGGAAATGATTTTTCTGTTAGCCTGGGAAAGTTTTATTGCTTTTCAGCAGGACTTTATTAAGAAATCCGCCGATTCTGCTTCTTTCGCCTCCCCGTGCACCTGGAGCTTGTCAGAAGTCACTAGCTGTTTTGCATAAATATTGATGTTTCGAATTAATGGTGTTGTAAATTCCAAACTGCTGTCAGGTCACTTTGAGAAGCTGCTTTTTGTAACCCACCCCCAACTTGCTGTTTCTCTTGCATGATTTCAGTGCCTCTATACCAGCGTATCCGAGCTGAGAATCTGGTCTGTCAGTTTTGGCAGGACTTTCTGATCCGATCTTGACATGTAAAGGCACCAAAATGATGGGAAACAAGTAATATGAAGAAAGGTTACTATGTTTTCATGGGCAACTGGAGACAGTTGGGTCCAACCCAAGACTCAGAGACATCGAGCAGAAGTATATCTCATCTGAAAAAAGTTTCACCTTTTCCTAAAGTGTGGGGAGGATTTGATAGCATCCTTTATCTACCTGCAGGGGATTACAAAAAAGGATGAGGTTGGACTGTCCTCAGTGGTGGCAGATGACAGGAGCAATGGTCTTAAGTTGCAGCAAGGGAAGTTGAGGTTGGATATTAGGGAAAACTCTCTGACGACTGGAAGAGGTTACCCAGAGAGGTGGTCGAATCTCCATCCTTGGAGGTTTCTAAAACCTGGGTAGACAAAGGCTTGGCTGCGATGATGTAGTTGGGGCTGGTCCTGCTTGGAGCAGGGGGTTGGACTAGATGTGACCTCCTGAGCTCCCTTCCCACCTTTGTCTTCTATGATGCTATGACTCTAATGCAGGAAGGAAATTTAAAAGTCTTCCAACTTAATCCAGGAGAAATGGCATCTTGTAGGCAGTTGTCACTCCTAAACCTAAGGTTTTACACTAAGAACAGGACCTTCTTGCAGTATTTATCTTAGACATGTTTGCACATGGCATAGAGCTCAGCCTGTCATTTAGCTCCAACGCTTATGCATTGGTCCCACCGGTTGCTGCGTTTCCTGCTTTCTGGCTGCAAAGTTCAGCCGCTGGTCTATTTTCATGAGGCTCTTGTTACAACATCGTAGCTCTTTGTGATGCACAAGCCAGAAGGAACCAGCTTGACTTAGATACGTGAGTTTGCAGGGCTGACAGGAAAGACAGAGGAAGGGAAACCCATCACAATAAGCAAAAATGACTATTGGTTTTGGGCACCTCCATTTTTGTGGTACCCAATCTGAGATATCTTCAAGAGCTCTGATTTTTCAAGAGGATGGCCCTCATCACTTTTGGAAAAGCAGGGCTCTTGAAGGCTGTTCAACCTGGGCATCCCAAAAACCCAGCAAGGTACCCAAAATCACGAACTGCTCTGGGCAATCTCAGCTGGCCCATGTTTTCTGTGTTAAACCGAGCAGATCTGACTGGGAGAGCCCGAGGGGCTAGATGTGGAAGTGCACTTTGTCACTACGGCTTAGCCACCTTTCCGTAGACCCACACTTTCCAGACACAGGCATGTGGGTTTGCTAACCTGATGTGGAGGCAACAGATAAACAGAAGGCCGGCATCGCTGTGGCTAAGAGCACACCGGCTTGAGCAAGCATTTTAAAAATCAAACCTTAGCCTTTTTTTTGAAGAAGAAGAAAAATGGCAGTGGGAACCAGGAAGCGTTATTCAAATGCTCGCTGGTATTTTCCGCCCCCGCTGTTTCTTTATTTACTCTGTCAAGAAGCTTTTCCGCAAAAGACGGAGCAGCAGCTGGACTTGATTATTTCCCTAACTTATGCAAACCCCGAGGCTTGTGAGAGGGAAGGTGGACAGCCTGTGAGATTTTAATATACATTTACCAGAAGTTAATGAACATGCCTGGAGCCTTTGGGGCATACAGCAATGTTGTCTTTAATTTTATTAAATATTTATGTGTCTCTTTTCTTCTTTGGGGCAAAGTACAACTCCTCCTGAACATTTTTAATTACCGAGTCACTGCCAGGCATTTCTGCCTATGCGGGGCTGACCCACTGAGGGTGATTAAATTGAATGTTAAGACAAAGAACATTAGGGAATCGCTGAATCTCTTCAAGCAGCTCAGAAATTTCTGGCCGCCAAAGAGTACTGGCATCGGCTAGGGGGTCACTGGGTATACAACTAATTCTGCTTGCTAAGGCCCTTCTCTAAAACTTTCTATTCGGTCTTCAAGAGGCTCACGGTTAAAACAAGAGCATCCAGAGGAGCACGGGGCCGTTGTGAGATGGACTCTGTGCTGTCTGCGATTCCCGGAACGGTGTAGCTTGCTGGCATTGATTAGCTTCTTGCGGGCTGAGGTCCAGGGTCTCTATTTTTATTCTTTCCTCTTACCTAAATATCCTCTGATCAAGTCTAGGCAGGGATGCACATGGGACCTGATCCAAAACATATTACAGATTATGGAAAAAAATCCCATTGAGTCCAGTAGCTGCTGTGGCTTCATCATTAAGTTTGGCAGGCAGGCATCTGTTTTAGGAAGATGCCTTTGATGGAAGTAGGTGAACTTATACCCCCTCCTGATCCAGACTGGACTTGGGGCTCATACCCCTCCTGGTCCACACAGGACTTGGGGCTCATACCCCTCCTGGTCCACAC